CAGCCCATTGTTCCTTCAGTGGGCTGGTTTCAGTCATTATGCACATGTACTGTTTATAAGATTGGGGAAACCTGCAGTCAGCTGAGACTGAAGAAGTCACTTGGATGAGTGACGAAACGTTTCTCCCAGAAAACGCTACGTCCAGATGAACAGAATCAACTTTTGGAGAAACAAAATTGGACATTTATTTAAATTTCCCTTCAAATTTCATTAAAAAATACTCAACCAGTGGACGTGTACTAAAGTGGAAGAAATCATCATTAAAGAAGACAGTTTGTAAAATTGTATAGTTTACATGTCTTTTAAACTCTGATATTGAACATAATATATATAATATAAGTCAGTTTGGAGTGGAAGACATCCATAAAACCCAACAGTGACTTCATACAGCAGAAAAACCCACAAACAACTATGGATGGCTGCAGGGTGCAAGTATTCTCATGTCCATGAGAGCGATCATTTTTCTGCCCGATTCTTGATGTTGTATTAAAAATGAACCTTTTTATTTAAGACTAGATTTCTTCACATTCACACAAAGATTTAAATTGGAAGCAATGTTCAAGTCATCGCAGCTCTTAAACATCTGACACTTTTAACATGACTGAATTAAAGTAGAAGTGCATTTTAGTTGCATCTCTAACATTTCATTTCACATCTTTTGTGGTGGGACTCACAATGTTATCTAAAGGTCTGTAAAGCAACGTTCTCACTTAAATTTCTCTTCACGAGGTGACATCCAATACCGGCTCTGTGGGAGTCCATCAGGTTGATGAAAACTCTGGATACAGTTTGTGCTACAGTATACATAACAGTCACTTCATCATTGAGATGGCAACTTCCAACACCCACAAGAGACGAAACACACGTCATCTGATCCAAAATATGAAGGATGCACTACTGGACATGAGGGCTTTGCTGGAACAAGCTCCAAGAGCAACTTAAAAATCATCCATAGCTAAACTCTCACCTTATTTTTTGCATTTTCTTTTTTTCTTTTTATTTGAATGATTATTGAATTTTTTGAGGGGGCGGGGATTTCACCTCATCACCTCTTTGATTACTTGCTCAAAAATGGGAAATTCCATTCTAGATTTAAGTTTTGATCTTTTGTGAAACTTGCAGAGACCGGGTAGTCCTGTGAGTGATCTGTGGTAGGTGGGCTGGAGCAGGCAGTGTCATGGCACACATGCTAAACACAAAGACACAGCTGAGGAAAATCCTTACACAAAAACATTACATTCAAAAGTGAAGCTTAGTTCAGCTTTAGTAGCACAGATTCACTGCAGTGTATGTGTGATGGACCAGTGGCTGTTTTGATCATAAAAATTGTAAAATAAATTAAAACAACGAATACTTTTTATTATTATTGATCCTTTCTGCCCAGTCAACTAAATTGTCTTTGCTTTGCCATAGTGAGGTTGGATTGCAAACTTTTGGACCAAAAAAAAATATATATTTTTTTTCTAGAGTGCATCTCTGGACATTGATAGCTATATTTAGCTAAGAGGACATCTCTCAGAGCACACAAGATTTTGAATTTTTTCAAAGAATGAAATGACAATTCCTGCCTAAGGAATTAGAAATGGGCGGTAATGTAACATACAGGATACCAGCTGCTGTTAACCCTATAATGCCCTTTGTATTATATTTGATACATGAGTATCAGTTTCTGAGACCTGAGATCTCATCAACATGATCAATACTTGCCATAATTTCAAAATGTTATGGACAAAATTATTTTTTGTCTAAAATAACATTGTTTACAAAAAAGTGCCAAAAACACCCGATGTATCAAATGAGATACACTAAATATGTCATACACAACATGATATAGCAAAAAAAACCAAAAACCCGTGGATATTGTTATGAGGGTTAATAAACATCTCTCAGAATTTTCTTGCTATTTTTTTGATGGGTTGGGTCTTACAAAGTTAAACGCCAGACTTCACGTGATCATTTTTGGCCACTTCCAGCACCCGTTCCGTAAATTCACGAGGAGACGCGCAACAAAATCGAACCGCTGCTTGTTCGGCAGGAATTTAGCCATCGACGATTCACTTCATCGCAGTGGGAGTTTTGTGTAAGCTAACGTTTGTCACTGGCTAGTGTTAAATTACGTTTCTGTGTGGCTGGTGTAAAGTTGTGTTTGTAGGTTTTGCGAAATTTCGCGTAGCGATATCTTGAATATAATCTTTGATTTGCTAAGAGTGTTAGCCGGGCAGTGCTACCAGATTTGTAGCTTAGGTTACCAGTTTGTTTGCAGTTGCTAGCCCAGTGTTGTGGTCTCGTTATGGGACGTGTTTAAAATGAGCTAACGCTAGAAAGCTGATCCGTTAGTTTGACTAATCAACTGGTAACGTTTGCTAACCTGCTACCGTAAAATGGACCATTTATCAAATTTCTTTCTAAAGGCTGTCATTTAATTATCTGACATTCCAACTTTAAACCAAGGTGAGGTTTCTTCACCTAATTAGCTGAAATCCAGTTAGCCAATTTAAAGTAGTGTCATTGCTATGTACTCTGACAGAACAGTGTATCAGTGCGATTGTTTTTT